TTTTTTTTTGTTAACATTGTGATATGAGTTTTTACTTATATACGTATGTTAATTCTTTCTTCATATCTACAGACATATGTCGTCACTTTTAACACGTAAAGTATGTTCGACCACTAGTAGCTGTAAACAAACGGCTGCTACTAATTGTGAAGGTTGCTCGCAAGCATTTTGTACTAAACATTTTATTGATCATCGTCGTTTACTTGGCGAAGAAATGGATTTGATCATTAATGAACAAAATAATTTTCGACAAATATTTGATCAACAGCAAACAGACTTTGAATTGCATCCTTTCGTTAAAATAATTGATGAATGGGAAAAAGAATCAACTATGAAGATTCAACAAAAAGCAAAAGATCTACGATCAGAGTTACTAAAATTAGTAACAACACGTAAGGATGAATTTTTGAAGAAACTCCAACAATTATCTGGAGAACTGCGTGAAAGTCGAGAGAATGACAATTTTATCGAGATGGATCTTCAACAATGGAAAAATAATTTAGAAGATTTAAAAGCAAAACTTGATTCAACATCAATATTTTCCCTTGAACAACATGAAGATTCTCCAATAGTACCAAATATTTCTGTTATTTTAACGATGGAAGACGAATCATTCGAGCACGCATTTGATGACATTGTGCAAATTACACAAAATGGAAAAGCAGCCATTCATGACAAATCCTGTACTTACACAGAAATTCGTGGAAAAAATGAATATATATCCGGTCGTCATAAAATTCGTCTACGTGTTGAACAATCTGCTGATAGTTGGATGTTTTTTGGAATCAATACTAAAACGACACCTCTACAAAGACAATCATGTAATTCGAAATCAGTTTATGGATGGACTAATAATAATTATTTTTGGTTAAATGGTGAATGTCAGCCGAACAGATCTGTTGCTCGTATTGAAATGAAAACCAATGATGCAATTAGTTTAATCTTCGATTGTGATCAACGCAAAATCTCGATGATTAATGAACGAACAAATGCAAAACATGATTTAGTAGTTAATATCGATCATTGTCCATTTCCTTGGCAATTACATGTTAATTTGTATGAGGCAGACAGTCATGTGCGGATTTTACCCCCTTAGTTCGTATTTATTTTTATCTGTCTTATTTACGTATAAGCAAATTAGTCTTGACTACAATAAATTATTATCTATGATCTACATTTTGAGTAGAATAAATTTTAAAATACACAATTAAAAAATTTAAGACACATCGGTGTACAATTTCACATCTTCTTTTTTTATGTGCAAATATTTTTCTGCCAAGAATTTTTTATGACAAGGTTTTATTCTTGTATGTATACGATTTCGAATGTTCTTCCATAACAGGTTTTTAATTAATGAATACAGTAGATCATTTTTAATGATTTTCATAGCATCCCGTAATCATACTAGTTTTTATATGTACAAACAGTAATGATTGAAAATAACTAATTTCTATTAACTGCGAAAGTTTTTCAATGATCGTCACCGTTTAGTTGGTAAAGAAATAAATGTTATCACTCCGGAACATCATGAATTTCAACATATATTCAATCAGTAAAAATTTAACCATTGTAGTTTGATCGTAAGTGATAAACAATTAATACTTTAAATTGTATGTGATTTGAAGTCGTACATTCATCGATTATTTTCAATAATCTTTTGTATAAGTCAACATCCACGACAGGCTCCATTTTTAAAGGTCTTAATGTTTGAAGAGTTAAATTCTTCCAATAACTATTAATCATTTTAGCCTTGATATGAAAAAGTAATCCCTACTTGATGTATATATATATATATATATATTCTATTCTGTGAAAGAAATAATGTCAACATCTGCTATTTTCATCCTATCGAGACGAGACATCGGAAAAGTAATTCGATCATAAAAATGATAAATTCATTTATATAGAAATAGAATAGCAACACAAGTATCAATATCAATATTTATAAGAGATCTTCTAACTTACATGAAATCTAAAGCCGTACATGGTCGGTCATAAAATACTTGTATATACATTTCTTTTAGTGTTTCTTACAAATCAAAATCAACATCTTTATATAAATGGTTTCTTGATTACCACTGTACTACTTTATAATACTTTATTGTGTCTATTCTCTCAACGTTAGACTATTCTTGAAAGAAACAAGGCATACTTCTAATTGAAAAATTGTGTGTTAAGATTTAACATATGTTCCGATCAGAGACATTGACAGATTCAGCTGTTTTAAGTCAACTTTGGGAGGACATGTTTTTTTCTAAATCATGTATGCTTATTAAAAAAAGATACAAAAAATAAATAATCTGAATAAGCGACATCTACTGGAAATTTTTTAACTGAAATATGAACAAAAAAAATGTATTGATTTTTTTTGCTTTAATATTCTCTTACAAATAATCTATATTTTATCATTAAAATATTCAAAAAGTCTTATAAAATTATTCTTATTGGTTAAGAATAAAATGTACGGACGGTAACGAACGATAAACCTGTATCGTATAAACTGTTGAGTCATGTTTTTTTTTGTTAGTTTTTCTCCGTAACTGCCTACTCTTTGTCGTTTACAATCAATTGCTTGATTGTATTTAACAATAAATGTAGTATAACGATTTTAACTTTCTTTTTTTTTTTGGTTATTCTAGATGCCTTGGCACAAACGCCATGACTTTGCAATGGAAACGACATCGTAGCACTGAAAGCTTAGACGACGAAATTAGTGTTGAACTAGCGGTTCGTATTTTTCTCTATTATTATAATGTCCTTGAATTATTTTTTCGTGAGAATAAAGAAAGTTTATTGAATATATTACTTTCGTATATATATACAATAGAACGAAGAAAAATGATGACAACAGCCGTAGGTCTATCTCTCTTAATATTAGAGGATATAGATCGGGGTTATTATTTTGTTTTCTTCTGTCGCTACGAGTATTGATAGACATATGTAGATCGTTAGATAGAAAAAAGAAAAGACAACCATTCGCGACGGTTATAAAAGCATTTGATATTGATTCAGTTGTGTTATAACTAACATTTAAAATAATGAGAGCTGTCGATGAGGTGAAGAAAAAAAAAGATCATTTGATACATTCTTATCTATTTAATTAATCTTTCGTTTTTTTCAAATAGGTTCTTCGACAACATTGGAAACAAATTCTACAAATATTTCAAAAAGCATTAGTTGATCAAGATGATATTAGTTGTGTTTTATCCCATTTTCAACATGCAGTCACATTACTTACCGATGAAGTGGCTAGTCAAGATGAACCCGGACCTATACTTTTATATTTTGTAAATGAAGCTATTCTTGATACATTCTTTGTCTGGTCATTAAGTTGTCCTGAATATGCATCTGAACTTAAATATCATCAATTACGTTGCTTTGAATTTCTTCTTAGTCGAACACAACAAGAACTTCTTTTTCATAAACAAATCGTAAAATAAATTACTTTTTCTTTCTATTTTTATTATTAATATGATTTATTCTAGTTTAAACCATTGCTCAATCTTCTTCGATCATGTGAATCTTCATCATCATTAGAATTAATTGAAAAACATATGATTGTTGTGCTCAATCAAGTAAGAGTTCTTTTTTATCATTATTATTTATATTAAATTATTAATTGAATATATATAGGTATGTGTCAGTATAACAAAAACTCCAGATCTATTAGAATTCTGTTTCGATATCAGTGCTGAACATGGTCCATCTCGATTTATTATCTTTTCTCTATTAATCCCATTCGTTCATCGTGATGGACTTGCGGGTAAGAAAAACAAAAATCCTTAATTTTATCATTTTAAAAATCCTAGTAATCATATATATATATCTGAGATTTTAATTTATAAAGAAAACAAAACACATACATATATTTAGATATACCATCAGCACAGGGTATCACAACAGGTGGGCAGTTTCTATATGAAAATATAAAAAATTTGTTTTTATTTTACTGGGAATGATTACAGCATGTTTACTTTATTTTGAGCGATGTTTTGTGATTGAATTTTTTGTGTTTGCAGCATTATTTTCGTTTCGTTTCTTGATTTATATATTTATATTTTTTTTGTCATTTAGGTCAACAAGCTCGTGATGCTTTATTACTTATTATGCAATTATCAAATCGAAATTCACATATAGCACGACATATTGTTGAAAGTACAAATTTTTGTCCAGTAAATAAAGACAAAAATATCCTTCGTAAAGATTAAATAAAAATTTATATTTAGATTCTAGCAACTGGTTTAAGTGCACTCTATTCTGATTTACCCCATCGTTTAGTAACAAATAATGATGAATGGTTTATATTAACGAAAAAAGAATGGTCAGAATGTCCAGCATTAGTACAATTTATGAATTCGCTTCAATTCTCAAATGATGTTATCCAGGTAAATTTAATTAAATAAATACGTAAATCTAAATATACTTTTAGATTGCTCATCCAACTATTGGTCATCATTTAATACAATATATTTATCATGGATTTCTTGTCCCTGTTCTTGGTCCAAGTATTCATCAAGTATGTTAGATAAAAAGAAACGATTTTTTGACAGCATGTCAATCGCTTAAAATGATTCCGCAATAAGGAACTTAACACATAAAAACAAAGTGTGGCGTGTGTATGTGAGCAAAATTTCTTCTTTCATAGGATCTTCATGAAATACCATTGAAATTTTCTGATTTACAACATTTTTCGGTAAACAATAAGAGATATTTTAAATACAATGAACGAATATTTATCCTATAATTTTTATTATTTATTTTGCTGCTTCACGTTCTATTTTATTTTTTTTTGCACATAATGCTATTGCATGAACTTTTTTTTTCCATTTTCTAGAATAAGCATGATTAGTTAATTTTATTATATTTATTGCATGATAGAAAAAAATGTATATATATATATTTGTGTATATTTTGTGTTTTTTTATAGAATACTATGGATGAAGTTATTGCAGCAACCGCTTATTTGGATTTATTTTTACGTACAATACATGAGCCAGCTTTATTAAAAGTATTCTTGAAATTTATACTTTGTGCAAGAATTGATGAAATGAGTTTATTGGATACATTAATACAGCGAATTAATTTTAATACCAAAGTAAAATTTTTCTTTTTTCTTGTATTTGATAGAAAAAATTCTTTTTTTTTAGCTTGGATTAGTTTCATTAGGTTTATTTTATACACTAATTAATCTCAATTGCGAAGATATTATGTATCGTCTCATATTTATGTATGGAAAAAACTTTTTTCTTTTATTATTGAAATCTTATTATATTTTTATTTTAGGTATCTCATTCCATGTCGACATGTTATGTGTAGTCAACGACGACATATAACCGATGTGGAAATTTATGGAAAAAATGCGGAAAGATTTCTTTCATTAAGACCAACTCTTTCAAAAGATAGGTAATGGAAAAATAATGATTTTGTTCTTTTTTCAATTGGTCAGATTTATATCTATAAAACTTTGTGTGTATCGTAAGCTTCAATTAAAAGGAAAAACAACATGAAAATACTTTATATATAGACTTATTGTGTTTAAGGGTAATTAACAAATAATTAAAATACTAATGAAAGAATTCAGATTTGACGATTCATTTTTCTGTACTTTAATTTAAATGATGCGCAATGGAAGTTTCATAATTATTTTTCTCTCTTAAACTTTATGGTATGTTTATTACGATACTTTAAATATATTATTGCTAAAAATGAATTTTGAAGTATAAATACTTTTAAGTGCGTTTGTTTTCACATATACATGGACTTGATAAATTGCTGCGACATATCCTGGGATATGCGTATGTCAATAACACGGAAAAGAAATCGTCTAGAGACTAATTCAAAAAAAAATGATCACATGAATAATTGTTTTAACTATAAAAAGTTATCAACACTGATGATTCACTTATATAATAGGTCGCTGTAGATATAATACTTAATTTCATCCAAGTGAATTAGTAGTTTATAGTATGTACGATTCGCATCTACCAGATAACAAAAACTTGATTTGTGCTATTTTCTGTTATATAATTTCGATAGTATACATATCTCAATTATTCAGAAGTGTTATGTTTATTAAAAAAGATAATTCTATCATGTTTTAATTCCATAGAGATCTTACTGACAACTCTTACAAATGAAATTTACTGTTGTCATGTCAAATATGAAAATTACTTTTTAATTATTAAAAAAAAAGAATATAGAACTAATCTTACTGTTTTTTTCTTCTTCTAGCAATGAAAATTCACAATCAAAACAAGTTCGTGTTAGCTTTAATCAAATTAATGATTCTTCCAATACTATTGAACGCTATGAATGTACATTTGGTGCTTATCTTGAAGTAAATAATAAAAAAAGATTATTTATTCTTCTATGATGTATTTATTTTGTAGGATGCACATTTCAGTATAGTCCGTTGTCGTGTTGCGTGTCGTTGTTGGACAGCACCGTATGATGGTGAAAATCCTTCACCAGATACAGTCATTGGAGATGCTGATCTTATTTCATTAACAAGTAGTCTTTCATCACTTAATATCGATAATAATAATAGTTCAAAAAAATCAGATTTAACACCAAATAATTCTACAAATCCAAAACAATCAACGAAAAATGTAACTGCATCCAATGATTCCGGGATACATGAAGATGGATTAGATACAAATTCTCAAACAGAAATTCTACCAATAATAACAAAATCAATTACAGATGATTTTCAATTACCATCATGGCTTGCTAATGGTGAACCCATACCTGATGAACTTCTTGCTAAACGTTCATTAAATACTTATTCAACATATCGACATCTAGATGATGATGATGATGACGATGATGAAATTGATCCTTATCAACCATCATCATTCTATGGTTTTTCATTTATTGATTTACCTGGTACAGAAGATACATGGTCAATACGATCATCAAATACTCCATCAGTTACGAATGCAATTATTCGTGATGAAATTAAAACATGTGTTGATACATTAAATACATGTTTAGATCAATTTCGTGAAATGAATGAACATTTAGATAATAATACTAATGAAATAAATGAAGAAATCAATGAAGATATTGAAATCTTATTGAATGAATTAATTGATCAAATTGAAAATTCATTTGAAAAAGAAGAAATCTTAACGAATACAAATGATTTCTCAACAGTCAATACAATTTTATTAGATTATAATTTATTAAATGAATTATTCACGAAAAAATTAACATTTAATGAATATTTATTATTACTTGATCGTCTTATTGATAATAATATATTAAAACTTTCATCGAAGACAGGTGATGAATTATCAAATGAAATTATTCATCTTGCTGATGAAATTGAATCTTATCGAACAATGATGTCAACAGATAATACGAATGATATCGATCAAAATTTAATAAGTATTAATTTAGATAATCAATATCATCAACAATTATTATCAAATACACAATCAAATTATTCAGTTATTTCATTTCTACAACAATCAACATCAATGGATATGTCATTATTATGTGCAAATGAGTTTTCAAGTCAAATTCAATCATCATTATTTACATCAACTGTCCAACAACAACAGCAACAACAACAGGCAACAGCAGCTACGGGGAAAATGGCTGATGTCGGTATGTATGATGATTATACATAAAGAGAATATAAAATTATTTTCTCCGATTAACCAACAATTCTTTTTAATCTTCTTATTGTTTCAGACGGCTTGTCTTGATCTTCTATATAGTAGTTACCCCGAGGGATACAAATAAAGTTGATTATACTTAAGATCATCTTGTTGAACTCTTCTAATAAGTCAAATCATAAAAGTTCTCGTATATTATTAAAAGCACCCTGCAGCGATACTATATATATCTATATTCTATGATGAAGAATTTTGACTAAAAATTTATTTTAGGTCCATTTTTACGTACAATTTTTTCCAAGTTGGAAAATATGTTACAAAATTCTTTACATGTAAATCTTCTATTAACTGGCATAATAGCACGATTAGCTCAATATTCTCAACCATTACTGCGCTCATTATTACTCAACCATAGTCTTGTTCTTGAAACAAATGTTAAATCACTTTTTCAGGTAAATTTATTTTAATAATAATAATAAATTAATTTTCGTTTTTTGTATGATTATTAAGATTCTTTCAAATCTCAAATCAAAACTTGAAACTATATCTCAAACATTTAATGATTTTAATTATCTAGTTGAATTAGCACATGATACATTATATCAACGTGAAAATACTGCAAAAGTAGGAATTATTCTTTTTCTTGATTTTATTTTATTTCAAATAAATATTTTAAAAGGAATTTGATGAAATGCAAAGACGAGCACGTTCTCCTTCACGAACACGATCAAAATCTATTGAACCCGACAAAGGTAACTACAAGAAAAAAAATATTTTCGACATTTCTATTTTCTTTTTTTGCTTAAATTTTGATCTTCAGTTTTCACAGATGAAGAAAGAGTATTTTTCGAAACTCGACAATCACCTATAAAAGGTTCTTTGCATGATGTTCTATTTCTTTTTTTCATAAGTTCATTTTGCTGCATGTTTGATTATTTAAAATGAATATTGAATTATTTTTACAGCTTAATAAAAATGTTTTCTTTTTGATTTAGTAGAACGTTCATCAAAACGAAGTCGTATATTAGATTTCTTTCGTGGCCGTGGTCGTCCTACCGAACAAGTCGATCATAATTCCAATGGTCATGATCAATCTCATCTTTCATTTATTGATAAAACATCTATGAAGTAAAATTTAAATAAATAGAAATAGAATAACAAAAATTTTTCTTATTTAGATTTATTAATATTCGTGATCATAATCAAACAATTCCAATAAATGAATGGGATGATCCAAAAACTCGCAATATTGCATATTGTGCTGTTATATTTAACGAATTTCTTAAAGAACTTGCGGCAATAACATTAGAACATAGTGTACAACAATTTGATGATGATCAAATATTTGATGATATATCACCAATATCATTAATGCTTTAAAATAAGATTTTTTGCATGCATTTTCTTTCCTTTTTTTCTTGTTTGCTCATTCGAGTTGTCATGTAGTTTATTTATTTTTCTATCTTTCGCAATAATCGATTTATATTTGTCTGTTATGTATCTACCGTTTGCAATACTACTATTATAACCATTTATCAATGTTGATCTTGTCTTTTTTTATTTGGAAGTCCTATACATGCTTTTTCAATCATTATGTGCATTTCTTCTTTTTTCTTTTTTAAAAATAGAAACTCTTCGTTGTTCTTTCGTTGGATTTTCTCAAAATAGTGCATATTATGGATGAATGTACGAATTTTACGCACTCGTCTTCTTTTATATTATTGTTGTATTCTTATTTTTTTTTCTCTCTCTCTCATTTGTATACATATATGAAAAGAAGAAGGAATAAAATTGCACAATGTGTGCGTAGATTTCACAAATAAAAATATATAAGAGAAAATTGAAATGATTTCAATCTCTAAAATCAATCTTACTAATTGAAACAAAAATACATTTAATAGTAAACAATCATTCGTTTTAGTTATCTGTTTATAACTTCATTTGCAAGTGACTGAATAATGAAATCATAAACGATATCAGTGCTATTTTGAACATCATGAATATCAGGATGATTGGCTGGTAGTGAATGTCTTCTAATTTCTAAAGCAGATTCAAAATATGAAAGTGCTTTCGGATATTCGCCCATGCTTCTATAAACCCAACCAATATTATTGTACGAAGTAGCCAAACCTGGATGATATGATGGAAGACTGTTATAATAGATTTCATGTGCCATTTCGTAATATAAAAGTGCTTTGGAATATTCGTACATTTTAAAATACACTCCTCCAATATTACTACACGTAGTAGCTAAATGCGGATGTTTTGAACGAAGAGTTTTTTGTTTGATTTCAAGAGCTTTTTCATGTGATGAAAGTGCCGCAGAATATTCACCTAATTTATCATATATTAATCCGATATTATTGTAAGAAGAAGCTAAAGATGGATGATCCGATGGCAATATTTTTAATTTTATTTCAAGTGCTTTTTCATGAGAAGAAAGAGCTTTTGAATATTCGCCGATGTTGCTGTATACCAAACCAATATTGTTGAAAGAAGAAGCCAATGAGGGATGATCAGGAGGTAGATTTTTCTTTTTTATTTCGAGTGCCTTCTCATGAGAAGAGAGTGCTTTTGAATATTCACCCATTTTGTTATATATCCGTCCAATATTATTGTGAGAATAGGCAACATCAAGATGGTTTGAAGGAAAACTATTACAATAGATTTCAACTGCTTTTTCATGAGACGATAGTGCAGCAGAATATTCACCCATATTATCAAACACCAAACCTATATTATTGTAAAAGGAAGCGAGATATGAATAAGTTTGCCATTGAATTTCATGATTGATTTCGTTTGATTTTTCATAAACTTCAATAGCTTCAAAATATTTTCCTTGATTATTCTTGATTATTCCAAGCATATGATAAATATTTCCTTTTTCACCTTGATCATTTGATTGATTAAGTATGATTTCAAATACTTGTTGAGCTTTATCAAATTGGTCTAATTTAATGAGTAATTGACCTAATCGATGCCATCCTATGGAACTAGAAAAGGTTTCTGTTCTTATATGTTGAGTTAATCTATGAAGTTGTGGATCAGTATCACAAGTTAAAGTTAACTTTACTTTCCACAAACGACTATCAGGACCATCAATCTGTTTCGCTTCTCCAATACGAAAAACAGAATGCATAGAAAAAAGAATTTCATCTTCCTTTTTAAAGGCGCTAGTATTAATAATATTAGCAAAAGGTGTCGAACGTATCATGGGATCAATTTTCATAATGAACAAGACTCCGATCTTATTAGAACTATTAATAGTTCGTCGAGCAAATGCAAGTGATACATTTCGATTTTTGCTAGTAGACAGAAAATTATTAAATGATAATAATCCACCCTGTGTCGATATTAATTGATTGAAATCTGTTTCAGATAAACTTTGACCACGATATACAGTAAAAACATCAGAATTGTTCTGTCCACCATATTGTTCAGCATGAAGTTGAACGATATGTTTGTGAAGATCCTGAATAAAGAAACCCAATTTTATAATCAAGTCGACTTCCATTGTACGCAATGCTTTATTTAATGTAGAATAGAGAAAACATTGATATGTATACCACCATATTGGCTTACGATCATGATATTCGTGTTCAATTTTATCAACATTTTTTAATTCAATATTATTATTAAGAAGTAATTTCTTGCGACAATATGTAAAAAATTCTTTCATATGTTCTGATTTAAATGGTATTGTCAGTAAGATTTCCTTGAGTATTTGTGTATACATGTAGGATTTATCAAGATGATCTAAACTTCGATCAATAACTGTATCATTCAATGAAATAAATCCAAGTGAAACAGAATTGTGAGCACATTCATGAGCAGCTTGTTTTAATACTTCACAAATTGGTGTAATATCTGTGAAAACACCTTTTATTTTACACCATTGTTGTGTCCATTGTTCATGTTGTGTTTTATTACTACAAAAAATATAAATAGAATGTAAGGAGAATATACTATGAACATCAGAAATAATTGTTTGACCAAATCTTCCAGATAAAATCATAAATATCTTTTCATCATCAATATCATTTATAGAGTTCAAACATTTATTGACATCCGTAAATGTTTCCACAGTATTCACCACTTGTCGTAATTTCATTAATGTATTAATACTATCACTATTATTAATTGTATCAATATTGCTGTCAAGCCAAATGACACGAAAGTTTTGAATGATGTGTGTGTGTTCAGATGGATGTGCCGCTGAGGTACTATTTTTATGATCAATGTCATCAGCAATTTGTTTCTTCAATTCACTCATATTGCTTATAGAAGGTAAAGATAATATTCTTTTTGTATTTTATAAATGATACTTATTGAGTCATCTTGGAAAATTTGGTTAATATTGCGAAATATCGTCGATTGTATTTTGTTTTTCGTTTATTTATAGACATATTATGGTCATGAAAAGGTTTTTTCCAAGTTATATGTGTACAAAATACCTATATATATCCCTGGCGAGATATAATATGTACGTTTGTCCTTTCCTTTTGTCACTCGTAAAACCATGATAATCAGTTGGTATAAAAAATATTCACCTTACAATATTTTCTTTCTGTTCTTCGATAAGAAAAAAAATATTTTTTCTATTTCCGCTCTTCTTCAAAATACAATGCATATGTATAAAAATCGTGGTAAATAAGTTACTCGTTATATTCTTTTAACATATTTTATCTCCTAGGATTCGATATTGTTTGTAGTTAAATTTCTAAGATCATGCTAATTTCGAGTAAGCTATATATTTAAATGACATGAGCGTACGTGCGAATAATAACTACTTCCTTATGAAATGAGAAGATATACCACTAATAGTCACATATCGGAAAAGAATGATGAGTTTTGTTTTTAAATAACTTTCACTAGTAACAAGAGAAAGAGAAGATAAAAATACATTGCATTATTTAGTACAGATTTCTTAAGCTGTTAAACTTTAATAATTTAACACTTAGATGCATTCTAATCATACATCGAAGATGAATTCCTAGCAATTTTTCTTTGTATTCGAAAATTAAATAACAAAAAAAAACCGCCGGAAGTCATATTAGAAAAACCTATTATATACGATTCGACGCGTCTTTGTTCCTTCTTATCATCGATGAAAACTATACTTTCCTTTTTTGTTTATGTCAAAGATAATTCAAAAAGTATTTACTTGCCATTAGCACTATCATTACACTCCACAGTAAAACAGTTCTTTACTGAAATTTTTACTATTATAGTATTAATTGACGATTCTATCATTTTCTATTTTTGTAATGAAGGATGATTAGAATGCAAGTCTCTATGGGTTTACAAGTTATATTTGTATTGTGTCATGTATAGGTCTTTGTTATAAATATGAGAAATTATTTTTCTTTTATATTTTTTTAGAATAAATAGATTCAATATTGACTTTCGTATAACTCATGAGCTTCGATATTTTATAAAATAGATAATTTAATTAATTAGAAAATATCATCTCATAAAAATCTAACATAATCATCAAGAGACAAAATGACACACTTTACTAAATTAGATTTATTTGATGATGATGATTATACAACAAACGTACAATTCTATTATTAATAAAATCTTCCGTGTTGCTTTAAATATTCTACCGATGTTGTCAAATGAATGTATGACAAAAATCAAACAGCATGTGTTTTGACTCTATATATCTTCAAAAATAGAATAATTCGCATTAAAATAATATGTTTTAATGTATATTAAAAGCATACAGACAAAAACAAAAAAATACACTGAAAACACACACATATATATGTATATATAGAATAAGAAACTTTTAATTTAGAGTTTTCTTTTCATTTTCCTTGAATTTTTTATCGTTTATAGGCACGTTCAAATTCTAGAAAATAAAAATTAACTTCAATATTGAGAGAATTCAAAATTTCTTACCTTCAAATGTAACCATTCCATCATTATCTGCATCAATTTCAGCAAATGCTTTTTCAATAGCCGTTCCATCTTTATTTGTTCTTTCATGATAATCACGAAATTCTTTTAATGTTATATAACCATCTTTATCCTAAATAACATTTCGAAATATATATATATATAAATTTAAATCTTCTTACGTAATCTAAACGATTAAATTCTGATCGAAGATCAATCGCTGAATTTTTTTCTGCTGACATGATTCGTTTTGTAATTAATTAAAATAAAAACCTATCTAAAAGATTATACATGCATATTGATACATAACAAAGCACATTTGTCATATTATAATCTACTCATTTCTATATGTAGTTTATTTGTCTAGAAAAAGAAAACGAGAGCACTACCATGTGTCACAATTGTGGTGTTTCCCCTTCATATATATATATATATATATATATCCAAATCTATTCTCTCTCTCTCTTTCCAGAGAATAGAAGAGAAATCAAAGAGTTTTGTCTCTGTCTCTCTCGCTCTTTTTTATTAAGTAAATCCCAATTGTGTGACATTGAGTGATATATTTACATTATAAATTTGAATTTCCTCTTCCTGCTTGATATTTAGTCTTGTTTTTTTTTATATTGTAAAGAATAGAATCAATATATACTCGACATAAATTTTATTTTCTACTGAATTTTTATAATAACCTATGATACTTAATTGTTATTTAGTTAAAATCTAATCATCAATTCTCAATGCGTGACTAGATAGATTAAAAATGATAAACAATGACAATATATATATGTAGAGAGAGAAATTAGTAAGGAAAAGATATTTTCTCTTGATTTCAATGCTAATTATGGCATGAAAACTAGTACTTTCAATTCAATGATCGATTGACTATTATGCCTTTGAGCATAATGATTCTACTTGAATAGAGAAAAAAATACTCTACCGGATGTCATTCATGTTAGTAGATTAAATATAGCATGTTCAATTTTGGAAACAATGATAAAAAAGATAAAAGTCACGAATATAAAGAAAAAGCAACAATATATTTAGATTTGTAGTAAACATATGCAATAAATCAAGGGTTTTATCATGAAACTATTATCAAAAAAAAGTAAATTTATCTATGTGATATTTTTACAATGATATTCATTATAATAGAATTAATTCTTTCTTTTTATTGTTTATAAGAAAAATTTTACAGAATAAATGATTTTTTTAGATTCATACAAGATTCTATCAAAACTGATTGACTGCAGTGATTGAAATAATTACTATAAAAAAAGGCTAGCTGAATATTAAATCAAAGGGCATAAACAAATTTGTCTTTTTTGTTCAGCACAAAAAAATGATTAGTTGATATTTTTCAATAAATCAATTCGCAATAGAATAGCTTATCAGTTAATTAATATAGTGAAGGCTGTTGTATTTAAATCAACAGGATCATTGATTGATTGGTTGTTATGTATTATAATCTGGAATAGATCTTTATTCTGAAATTTCTTTTTTTTCCATAATAAAAAAGAATTTTTAGGGGAAGGCAAAGCAGAAGCGATGCTCACCTATTGAGAAGTTCTAATAAACATAATTATTCTAAATATAGAAACAAGGAAAAAAAGGTTAGTTTAATTAATTTTGTTCTCAATTACTAAATAAATTGTATCATACTAAAGAAAATATAATGTTTCTATTTATGAATACATAAAAAGTTCTTTAGTTAAGATTGTTTTATTAGAATCAACATGCTCTTATTAAAGTGAAAGCAATGTAGATCTTCGGATTTTATGAATGCAAGATTTGCTAGCACGAAACTCAGCAAGAATAGTGCATATATCCGATGCCACATACGATGAATCACAGGAACATACTTAATTCTTTTTTACTATAATAAGAAAACGTAATGCTGAACTTTGAATGCATATTTATATAAGGATATCAAAACAAAACTACATATACATATGCTACAATATGTCGCGGCCTAAATATTTATTAAGGATTGATTACAGTAATGCGTTGTGATCGTTGAAATAAAAGTAAACCCTTCCATTGTACTTTCTTGACCATTTCAGAAAGAGTACTAAGGCAAAAAAATGGAAACAAAAGAGTAACGAAATAACATAGATAATTAGAGTAAACTTGTACAACTGCACCGAAGCTAGGGGGTAGACCACAAATATGACCAAAAGTAACAAGATTAAGTGGAACATTTGCCGCTAAATATAAAATACAAATATAAAATAATTGAACTGTCATTTTACGTTGTCTACGCCATAGATTAGCTTGATGAACATGTCGTTTTTGAATATAAACACGAGCCAATACAAGTATACTAAAAATAGTAATTATTGCAGTTGGTACAATACTATTTATAACTGTATCCCATACACCAAGTAAAGGTACACCTAAATAACATGGCAACTCGCCGCAAACAGGTAAGTTATAATTATATTTATTTGAACATGGTAGAAATATTATTACAACTATATAAAATATAAAGATGTATAGGATCAATATGATAAGAGGCATCGTGTGATAACGAAAACGTTTTCTTGCAACCAAAAATAATCGATCATGAAATATTAATAAATAACGATGAATAGAACCCCATGCCATAATTATGACACATCCATTATATATTCCTGTATCTACAAACCACCAAACAGTACATAAAGCAGGTGTCGATGGTCGAACGGCACCTTGTTGTAAGAAACTAAGATAGAAAGGAATATCGATTAGTTCGATAATTAATCCGAGGATGAGTAGACAAATAATAATATGATTACTCAATTGAGATCGTGATTGTTTATTGATGAAAAGTTGAAAAAGTAGGATGCATGAACAATAAAAGGATGGAATAAGTAAAATAAGAAAGAGCCAAAAACGAAATTGACGAGGTAAGGAAATCTCTTGTTCTACAAATAAGCCAGTAAGACTACCGTTCGTGATCATTTTCTACAATAAATCATACATTTCCATCATAAAAAGTAAAAAGAAAAGAAATAGTACATTCTAAAATAACATACGATTGAACTCCGACTATTAATTATATTCGTTAATTAATAGAACGAAAATAAATCAAAAAAAGAGCTCGTCAGTATTGAAATAACGAAAAGTTCTAACGAGCAAAAGTTATAATGCAAAGAAATACTATTTTCAATGCACATGAACCATGACACATGATAATATACTACCTTCACTGTATTATAGAAATATTAAATCTCATCATTATATACTATGCGCTCAGGTATCATTGAGTGCTAACAAAATGTATACAAGATACATATTCTTTTAAGAAAAGATATCATTTATCACAGTAAGCATCAAAGTAATGAAGCTTTTTTCTGTTAAAGAAAAATTACAAATAAATAAGTAATTTCAAGAAATTACTTATTCTCTTTTCGCTACTCGACTCCAACTGTTTTCATGTTCCTGTTTTTCTACTCTTGACATTACAAAGGTGCACAATAAGAACATTAAAGAGCAGTTGATTCAAGCTAAAATTTCGACGTTTCTTTTTCTTTTGAATCAAAGATAAGCAAAGAGCATTATAATTTTAACAGAATATTCTCATAGTACTTATCTATCTATTCCTCTAATTAAATAGATTCTCACTTTAAAAAAATATAATTTTTGTAGTACACTCTAAAGAATCAAAGCAATAAGAAATTATGCAGCAGATTCTAACTATATATACTTGAAAAATAAATTACCTACTTCTTTTCAGCACTGTCTGAAGTAATCAATGATATATGTCATTGTGTACTAGCCATCGACTACATTTCAGCGTATATTCATTTTAAAACTATATAGTATTACAGTTTGAGCCTTTACAATAGGGGTGTTACTGTATTTTACAAAGAACAAAGATTATCTTTATTCTAAAAATAAAGAATAAAGAAAATATTTTCAAGCGATCGATAAATAGATGAATAATTGATATAAAAACAGATAATATTGATCGTAGTTTTTTCTTATTATCAGTCACATTCTAATGTGGGATAATACTAGCAAATGAATGTGAGGCATAAAAGATTTGTGGAAAAAACTTCTCTCCAGAATCTTTTTTAACCTGTGTCCTTATAATATTTGGTGACCTACCTGGATAACATAAAATTTTAGATTCTAAAGAAAAAAAATTCTTTATCCTTTATATTAACTTTATTTGTTAAAATAAGGTAACTTTTTCATTATCTTTATTTTATGAAGATAAAGATTTACTTTATTTCTTTATCATGATTTTTAAAATGGAGATTATCTTTATTCTTTACAAAATAAAGATAAAGTAAAGCTTTATCTTTATTTATAAAGTAAAGGTAAAGTGCATTCCGTACTGTTCATTTTCTTTTCGTTCCGTTCTTCAACAGATACTTATTATTAACATTATATAATCTTTGTTAATAAATGAAAATCAAAAATAAATTTACTAGAAAATTAATAAATATGATAAGAAATAAAATCCTTAGGCATTGTTTTCTACTATATGTTTGAATAAATTGTATAAACTACTCTTTGACCAGAAGGAATAGAAATTTATATAAATATCTAAATAATTAAATCTTTTTGTGAAAAAGAAATGTTTTGAACTGATAAGAATACTATTGATTCGTTAGTTTATCGAATGTGACGACGATCGTTCTGAAATTTAAATTTTATATTTCATGCCTTTTATTTCAGGGATGGATCACTTGACTTAATTCTAAGTCAAGTCAAATGACCCACCCCTATGCATCTCATCTGTTTGCTTGATAATGCCGATCAATTCACTTTATTCTGTAACTACTAATGGTCCGGTCAGTGATCCTGCGTCACACTCCGATTTCTTACATGCACTTACATTGATAGTTACTGCTTTTATTGAAGATGCTTTACAGCGTGAATTAGTTATTGAATTAATGGATCAATACTCGCTTCTGTTTGATATATCTGAGGCTATTGTTGCACAAACATCAATGAACCATGATATTCACACACACGATCATTCGCCAATTACAAATCTTAATCGAGTGCAATTGAAGTACCACTTTTTCTTCAAACTTTTCTTTCAGAAGTTCTATTTGCATTTTATGATCACCCTTCATCTGGTCACTTTAGTCATGATTGTACCTTTCCTAAGCTTAAGACTAGATTTTATTAGTCACAAATGTATGAAACAATTACTTTATATATTAAATCTTATCGTGACTATGCTCAACATAATATCCGTCCACTTAAACCGGATGAACATCTTGAACCTATTGCTCCTCCAACAGAAGTCTTTGCTATGGTGGGATTAGATTGTTAGGGTCCATCCATTGAACAATTTGCATCTGGTAATCGTTATGTATTAGTTTTGACCAATTACTTAACAAAATGCGTTATTGTCAAGGCTGTTCCTGCCAACACTGCACAAATAACTGCTGAATTTATTGTGGAAACCGCTCTCATATTTTGAGTACCATCTTATATTCTTACTGATCAAGGTATTCATTTTGGTAATGAATTAATCGCTAGTGTTTTTTCGGTTTTCAGATGTGCACATACTTTTGCTACTGCTCATCATTCTTAAGCAGATGAATTGGTTGAGAGGTGGAGATCTTTTATGTTTACCTCTTTTTCGTACAACTCTTCTCTCTAGATGTACGCAACACTTTCCATAATCATCCGGATCATCTTCCCGCAAGGGAGAGGCGTTATAGTGTCATTGAGACATAGATATACGATTTTTCCTTTCGTGTTTTCATCCACTTGTATTTTTCAAACGTTTTCTTCTGATAGTGTTCAGTATATATAGTAGAGCATTTTGGAAAATAAACCGGATATTTGAGTTTCGATCACTTATATCGATTCTCCCGCTAACAACGATGAATTTATGTGTTTCAGTTGTTGGTATTCATTTTGAACATTTGTGGTGAACTAAATTATTTAGCATAAAACTTTGAAGAACATACTAACATATTATTTAAAAAATCGATTAAATTGATTGAGTTGTATAGGTGATATTGAAATTAACTTTCCGAAGGAACTTTTGGGTCACCCTGTATACATCATTTATTTATATAATAAAATCAAAACAAAACTATATATACACATATACTACAATATGTCACAGTCCCAATATTCATTTAGGATTGATCACAGCAATGTCTTGTGATCGTCGAAATAAAAGTAAACCCTTCCATCGAAGTTTCTTGCGCATCTCGGAAAGAGTACTAAGACAGACAAATGGAAACAAAAGAGTAACGAAATAACATAGGTAATCAGCATAAACTTGTACCTCTTCACCAAAGCGAGGGGATAGACCACAAATATGACCAAAAGTAACAAGATTGAGTGGAACATTCGCCGCTAAAAATAAGATACAAATAGAAAATAACTGAATTGTCATTTTACGTTGTCTACGCCATAGATTAGCTTGATGGAGACGTCGTTTTTGAACATAAACACGAGCCAATACAAGTATACTAAAAATAGTGATTATGACAGTTGGTATAATACTATTTATAACTGTATCCCATATGCCAAGTAAAGGTACACCTAAATAACATGGATATTCGCCACAAGCAGGTAAGTTATAATTATATGTATTCAAACATGGTGGAAATATTATTACAACTATATAAAATATAAAGATATATACGATCAATATGATAAGAGGCATCGTGTGATAAAGAAAACGTTTTCTTGCAATCAAAAATATTCGATCATAAAATATCAATAAATAACGATGAATAGAACCCCATGCCATAATTATAACACATCCATTATAAATTCCTGTATCTACAAACCACCAAACAGTACATAACGTAGGTGTCGATGGCTGAACAGCACCTAGTTGTAAGAAACTAAGATGGAAAGGAATATCGATTAGTTCTATAACTAATCCAAAGATGAGTAGACAAATAATAATATGATTACTCAATTGAGATTGCAGTTTTTTATTGACGAAAAGTTGAAAAAGTAGGATGCATGAACAATAAAAGGATGGAATAACTAATATGAGAAACAACCAGAAACGAAATTGACGAGGTAAAGAAACTTCTTCTTCTGTAAATAAGCCCGTAAGACTACCGTTAGTTATCATTTTCTATAACAAGACATACATAATCATCTTAGTTGTTATTAAAAGTAGAAAGGAAAGAAATAGTACATTCTAAAATAACGTATGAATAAACTCCGAGTATTAAATACACTCGTTAGTTAATGAAACGGAAATATAAAAAAAGAGTCCGTCAGTATTGGAAGAATTAAACATTCTAATGAGCTACAATTATAATGCAAAGGAACACTTTTTTTAATGCACATGAATCACGATCCATGATAATATCCTACCATCACTGTGTTATAAAAATATTAAATCTCATCATTATATACTATGCGTTCGGATGCCACTGAGCACTAAAAAATTGTATACAAAATAGATATACTTTTAACAAACGATATCATCAATGAAGATAAACATCAACGTAATGAACGTTTTCTCTGGTAAAGAAAAATTATGAATAGATAAATAATTTCTTGAATTTTTCTGATTCTCTTTTCACTACTTGATCCAACTATTTTTACTTCCTGTTTTTTCTACTCTTGACATTACAAAGATGTAAAATCAGGACAACAAAGAATAATTGATTTATATTAAAACTTTGACTTTTCTTTTGAATCAAAGGTAAGTAAAAAGCATTATAATACTAACAGAATATTCGTTTAATTAAATAGATTCTCGGTTTAAAAAGAGAAATTTTTAAGTAAATTCTAAAGAATAAAGGCAATAAGGAATTATGCAGTAGAGATAATATCAATTATTTTCTGCTTGTAATATATATTAAGATAAATAGGATTTTTCGTTCTTAAAAATTATTCACAAATAGCATTCGAACAGTATATCAAAGTCGTGCTGACATAGCTACGATCATCATAAGTTTTAACTATATATATTTGAAACATAAACTGACTACTTCTTTTTAGCACTGCCTGAAGTAATGAATGATATATGTCATTGTGTACTAGCCATCCACTACATTTCACTGTATAGTCATTTTAAAACTGTACTTGATAATTCTTTGACATACAATTCAAAAGAGTAGTGATGAGCATTTCTTATCACACTTAGTAATCGCTTCGCTAAATTCAATTTTGACTTTCTTTTATTTCCGTTCCTCAATAGATACTTATCATTAAGACTAAAAAATCTTTGTTAACAAATACGATAATAAAAAACCCTACGGATTCTCTTTTACTATATGTTTGAATAAACTCTTTGAACTACTCTTTGATCAGAAGGAATATAAATCTATAAAAACATCTAAAGAATTAAATCGCTTTGTAAAAAAGAGTAGTTTATTGAGTGTGATCCACTATCGTTATGAAACTTAAATTTTATATTTCATGCCTTATAGTTCCCACATCTTTTTTCTTTAATGTTCAGAAATAAATAATATATTTTATTAATAAAATATAAAAAGCACTTAATCAGATATTATACATTCTATTTTGTCTTTAGAAAAAAAAAGAAACAATGATTGTCTTATTTAAATTCTACATATTTAAACTATATTTAATATCAGCTCAAGATAATATTCAGTTACAACATAAAACAAATAGGCTTACAGAATAATAAATAAGTAAAGTATAATAGATAACACTATTTTTTATATGCCATGAATTACTCTAATTTCTACAGGTTTATATATTTGATTTTAATAGGCTAAGAGGTAATATATAATTTAAATTTAATATTACGACGTAGATTTTAGTCATGCAGCATTCTAATGAATTCATTGTACTGAAAATTGTTCAAAGTAATTCTTTTGATTGTTCTCTTTAAATGAGAATAAATTAGTAAACAACTGTTAACATGAATAGATAAATTGTATCTAATTTTCAAATATTCACTGATTACTACTTTTAAGTACTTATCAAACTAATTCCATCATCGTTTTTTTTGATAATACAGTTGTTTATATGATCAAATAATGTTCATGGTACATGACGTATACATATACAAATCTCCCTTTTAGCGGATTTTTATTATTATATATTCTGCTGAAATAATTCCATAACATAGTATGTGAATTATTAACAACTTTTAAAAACAAAAGATGATTTGTTTTCATTTTAATTAATACTTGCTAAAAAATCAACAAGTTTATTATTTTTTTCTATACATTCTTTAAAACGAAAAGTTAATAGAAAAACGTTATGAAATCGATTGTTAAAAATTATTCACAAAAATTTAAACTTTTTCTGCATTAGTAATAATATTTCGTAATTTTGTTCCATTATTTATTTGTTTTGTATGATTAACTGCATGAAAAGTTAAACAACCAGCATGTAAAATAACTAAAATATCAGTTGTTAAAAATCCTACACTCCATGCTATATCAAAAAAAACAAAAAAAAATTTAGAATTAAAACAATTATTCAATAACTTACGCCATGGTCGATATTGTATTGATTTTTTTTCACCTTCCGGTCCAACAGCCCAAATTTTTTTATTTCCTCCATCCGTTATAATCACACCATGACTAATTGGATCGATTATTAATCGATTCATATTATCAACATTTAATTCATATAAATCAATACGACGAACAAGTTGACCTATTTTAAAAATTCCTTTCTTTTTTTTGTAATTCATATAAAAATATTTTCTTACCATTTTTTTGTCTTTTCTCAACAAAATATCTTCCTGGTTCACGTTCTCGTCTTTTTCCTAATATATAACAAGATTGCATATCAACAGCTAAACTTCGTATTTCAACACCAGATTCAAATGTTAATTGTAATTGTAAATCATGATCAAATACTGATATTTTCGATTTATTACAACCTTTTTCTGAACCATAAAATATTAATTTTTCATCTGATGCTACACGTTGAGAATTAAGACCACGTTCAACAACACGTTCACGTTCAAGTTGTTTACGTGTTAAATTACATAAATATAATTTACATTCAAGTGGTTTGGATGATCCTTGTTTATGTTCACCAATGATAATTATACTATCATCATGATAAATACATAAATCTTTTATTTCACCATCTGACCATTGAATTCTCTAAATAAATGAGAAAATTAAGAAAAGAAAAATAATACAATAAAATATTACTTCATTCTCACTTCCATTAGCATCAAATATAATTAATGAACTTTTATCTTTATTATAAAGTAAGATTAAATCTGTATTTGTTACGGCTAATATACCCCAATCATAACTTTGTGATAATGGAATTTTTTTATGAAAATCATTATGACAATTATCTAGTTTTGATTGAAATAATGATGTTGTTAAACGATTGATTGTCGAAGAAAGTTTCGAATTATTCAATGATGAAGAAAGATCAGCAATTGAATTTGACATTGTTTTTGATAATAAATTATTATTATTACTTGAAGCAGGTCCATGTGAACGATTATGATTTATAATACGTGGTGAAGATGGTTGATGTTGTGGTGAATGATTACGATGTGGATTAATACCATTAGATGAATTAAGTGAATGATGATGTTGAGCAAGTGTATTTAGTGATTTATAATGGTTTCCTTTACTATTCAAATGTTTTTTTACTGCTCGACCATTTGTTGGTAGTGAAGTTTTAACTGGTTCATTATTCGATGATGATGAAGTTGAACTAGTCGAATCTATTTGAATAAAAAATATATATATATATAATAAGAAGATGAAATTCTTACCATCAAGATGTTGAATTCGTATTGTACCTGCTAAAGTTGATAGATGATTTTTTCCATTACCTAATATTAATTCATCTGTTTGACATGGTGAATCAACTTGATTCAGTTTTTTCTTCTTTTGTTGTATATCTTCATCATTGATTTCAAATACTTTCATATTTGGTAAATGTTGATGAAATACTTCATTTGCTTCTCGTATATCATCTTGTAAATGATTTAATTTGATTTGTAATTGTTTAAATTGTTCAATTGTTGACCAATCAGTTATTGTTGTTCGTAATCCTTGTATTGTTTTTGATATTTGTTCACAACGTTGTTTATAATCTTTAATAACTAAATCAAGTTCATTATTCCATGTTGATGATTGTCGTTCAACAACTTCTTCATTAGTTATTTGTGCACGACGTATTTCATCTATGAAACGTGTATAATAATTTTGTATAGCATCAAGAGATTTTTGTCGTATTTCATTTAATTTTCCTTTTGCATGATCAATATTATCATTCATATTTAAATATTCTTGTTCTAATGTATTTATATTATTTGTTAATGTTGTTAATGTTTCACGTCTATGTTGATTAGCACATTCAAAACAAACAAATAAACAACAATGAGAACATTTTATAAATGATGGAGATTTATTGCAAACTTGACATTGTCCAGTAGCTTCAACATGAAAATTACAAGATTTTATAAGATCAAGTACAGTTTGATTTAATGGTAAATCAGTTATTTGATAGATTGTTGAACATATTTCTTTTCGACAAGCTTTTACTGGACAATAATGTTTATATTTACTATTCCATTCATGTTCAAGACAAGTTGAACCTGTTGTATAATAATAAAAAAAAGAAAAATATAATTTTTGTATTAAAGACAATAATGAATTTACAGATAGTATGACCACATGTCGGTAGAACTCTTGGTTCAACATATCGTTGTAAACATGATGGACAATTAACTAATGTTTCAAGTAGATGATGTGGTATTGCAGCTGCCATAAATACTGAAAAATGAAACTAAAGTTATACTTATATATATATGTATACATAAATGCATATTATGAGTGGGAGGTTAAGTGCTTGCCATCCTTCTTACCTATGAGAGAAAAAAGAAATACAGTACTCATAGGTATAAAATAACCATTTCTCTTCTATCTCAACGGTTCATCTCTTTCTCTCTCTCTCTCTCTTTCCCTTATAGTATATACATTATAATTTTCATCGGTGTGAATATTTATTCAAACAAAGAAGAAAAAAAATATATGTATAACGGTGAGAAAGAAATGGAGAAATACATGTATGTAATTATTATCGATGACAGGATATCCTTCCCTTTCTTCTCTTCATCATATATGTACGTCGTAATCACTTGTCCGAACACAAGTCACGCATGAATTGACCATTGAGAATGAATAGTGATAGGAAATGATATGCGATAGAAGGTGATAAACATAAATGGATTTATATTGTATTTGCATAGGTGCTCAACGAGTTTATATATATAGGATGTATATGTGTGTGTGTGAAATGTGAATTTTTCTTATCCTTCTATATATAATGAATATGTTCACAACGTGATATACAATGAATATATTGACACCAAAGTAGAAGCTTTATACTGACGAAAAAAAGAAAAAAGTTATTCTTTCTTTATATTGACATTCTTTTGTCGGCATTGTTAATTTACAATGTAAAAATGAGTATAATGTTGATATATTTAGATAAAATAAATATAATGGTTGGTTAGTTATAGAGGTCAAGCAATGATGTGTGTGTGAGTGTCAAAAGACAAGTAAATAATCGACAATGATCATTCGACATTTAACTTAACATCAAGAAAATATTAAAGAACTCGAGACGTGTCGAATATAAAAGTGTAGACAAACATACTTTAGAAGGCTTGAGTTCATATAAAAATATTCTTTTCAATTGAATGAATGAATAAATAAATGATTGTTAAATTGTAACAATTGTCATTAAAATTGTTTTTATATGTCGTATATAGAATACATACATAATTAACTAATAGTATATGTTGAATATATACTAGTCGTTAGAGACCACTTTAAATTTTAAGCTTATATTTATATATAAAACTATTTCACTAAAAACTACGAAATAAAAGTATTAACAATACTTGTTTGATATACTTGACAATTCAATTGAAATGATATGCAAAACAGCATCAATTGATTATAAAAGAACATAATTATAACACCCAGTGATCAAAAGTCACGCTTCGCTGAACATAAAGTGATTTTTCACCGGTGTTATTTTATGACACTTAGATATATGTATAATTTCTTCACAAAATAATCATATTAATATTAGAGAAATAATTTCGCTTATTATAATGAATTTTATCTTTGACTTCATATAAAGCTTTTTTTTTTAAATCAATAATTACGGTGTCATACTATTATAAAGTGATAATAGAATTTTTCACACATTTTTATATTGTATTTCTATCTACGATCTTGACATAGCTTCTTAAAATAACACTCTATTTGGTTTATTGTTCTTGATCATCCTTAGAGTATAGCTTTTGTGTTTAATTAGAAGTCAATGTCTAGTCATTTTATACTTCAAAGCGTATTGAACAGTCGATCATTCACTTTCTTACAATTTAGTTCTTTTATTCTTTACTGTTCACGAAAATTCATTGATTGGTAATTGAAGATTTCTCAATAGGTGGTATTTTGTCGGCAAATTATTATTATAGTTTCATGATGAAAGTATACGATTTGACCAAAATCAATAATTAAAACAATTGTCATGAATAATTCGTTCGTTATCAGACGAATTATTCATTTATATACATTATACTAGCAACTTATTTTTGAAAATTGTTGACTTACTTTATCAAACATAGTATATTTGCTGTTCTCTTTCGAAATCAAATAGGACTATACTAAATTTTGACTATATACGATATGCTGGTTACATGAGTACACTTTTCAGTGATCATTTGTGACTATAAAATATACTTGATATTATATTGAATCATTTTGTTCAGGAATATTATTCCCAAGTAGACATCACCAACCTAGACTACAATCCTATAAAAAGATCAGCATGGATCAGCCAAATGAATTTTATTCATAAAAAAATGAAAAATAAGTGTAATTAATATAAATAAAGTAAAAAGATCATGGAATGAATCATTTACAAAAACATATCTTTGATCGAGTTGCAACAGATTCAACTTGTATCTGATTAATTCGAAAGTTTATTTTTAGAATTAATTAGTTCTTGGTTTCCTTGATACAAATTGATTGTTTTGCTGATTGAAAACCTTGGCAATCAGGATCATAGCATCTTTGATAATATACCAGATTAACTGGATCCACAAGAAAATAAACTTGATTTTTCTTATGCTGACGACGAACATTATCACAGTATCGATAATTACCTCCGATTTCTAGTCTGTATCTTCCATATGCATCTGGAGATCGAACTTTTCGAATTGTACCACCGAATGATCCTACTATATTTGCTAAGAAGTTTTCAATATTTTCATGTTCTTTAGGCATATGTTTAGTTGGATTATGATCTCTCTCAGCCACACCAAGTTCCGTCTTATTTTTACAAAGCTCATTATATGCTATTTGAGCTGCTGAATTTTCAGCATCTTTTTTCGATGTAAAGTTTCCTTCTCCCATAATCCAACTTTCATTGACTTCAACTTCTGACTAAACGAAAAATAAGCATATCTATATATTAGTCAACGTTGCTATTATATTTTATAGAAATCATAGACTTACTTGAAATCTTATCTCATGCGAAGCACTTTCTTGTTGTTGAGTTCGATAATTAGGCGTTTGAAGCTTATTTTTTTGACAATATTCTTGTAAAATACTTTTCCATGATTTTGGATTTTGGAGCGACATAACTATTTAGATACTATTCGTCGTAAAAACACAAAAAAAATACTCGGATAATGTAGGCAAACAGAAGTATAGTCTCGTTATATCTTAATTCGTTGCGAAAAGACTATTATATATATGATCACTGGGTTTTTTTGCATGAAGCCAATATTTGTTTTTCTTTACCTGACCACGTCATTGTGACAAAGTACACATGGCAATGTACGATTGGTTTGGTGAGGAACGCGAAACAGAAATAATTTCTAATTCATATCCTTAATAGAGGTATGCTTAGGCTGATTTGACTAGAATATGTATATAGATAGGATAAAATCTTTGAATGTGAATTATACATGATGTAGAAAACAAGTGACATCTTTCTCTAACAGACGAATTTATTTTAAATAACAATGCTGATGATTAAAAAGCTGCTAAAACTTCGTCATATTGATTTGTTTTAGTTGAAATATAAAAACTAGTTTTCATTTCTATCTTAGAAATTCATCAAATAGCACATGAGTGGATGTTGATATGGATGTCGTTTTCAAGTTCATTGAGCACTCTTCTTCAGTCAGAAAAAAATGTAGTCTTATTTATCAATTTCATGTGCATATATATTGCTATCTATAATTCTTTATATTTTCTAAACAACGTCCACACAGACTTGCAGCTCTGGCATATAAGTAAATAAGAATGGTGCAAGACTGACGTCATAAACGCGATGCTTTTATCGTTAAATTCTTATCAAATAGCTTTGGGTTTTTTCTTACTCATATCATTTTTGTCCTTGCTTTCTTTTTCTCGTATGACTAATGATTGTGCGTGTGGGTGTAAGTGGATGAAGATGCGGGTATTAGCATAGAAATAACTAACACCTGCACCCACACTCACTCACTGTAGATAAATTTTCATTTAAATTATGTTTTTAATATTAACTAAAGGCCGATTAGTAACTCATATGTTAGTTGAAAAAAGTTTTTTAGGCTCAAGTAAGTTTTCAGTAAGTGAGCTAAATTCAATTAGTAATTTTAATATCTGATGTTGACAATTTAAATTATCTTCGTATATTCATGACTCGTCAAATAACATTTACAAAAAACTATACCGGTGATGGCAACTATTGATTTCTTATCAATACATTTATGTCCGTTTTTATATTATGTTAGTTGATTAAGTGCAGAAGGTTCATAATAGATTTATCTTAAAAAACTTCAAACCATTTGTATTTTTTGAAATCAATAAAATAAAAGGTTTTCTTTCAAAACAAAATATGTGACGAGCGTAGATCAGTGTCGGAGTATTATAGAAAAAAAAAGAAGGTTACACTTGTCCGCCGGTAACACAATCGCGCTATCCAAAAAAGAAGAAAAACGAAAAAAAAAAGTTTTTGAATTAGTTATTTTGTGTTGTCCATGCAGTTGATGAGGGATTCATGCCCTGGATCATCACAATAAACGTTAATTTATTTGTTGTTGCTGAATTGTTCATTATCATTACCAGTATCAGTATTTGATAAATTGATATTTGATAGAAAATTAAATGCAGCGCGTATATTTGTACTTGCTTCTGAATTATCTTCGACATGAATTTTTGTGTTGTTGTAATGTTGCAAGGCTGTGACGGATAGATTTGGTTGTGATAATTCATCCATGTTTAAGTCGATTGATTGTTCATAGTTTGAATTGCCATACAACAAGTTTGATCATTGTTCTGATGTTAGTATCAAATCTGTTATATATTAAAACATTTATTATACATAAATTGATCAAAAAAAAAGAAAAACAAATTTACTGTTGTTTATACATCTTTGGATAATATAAATATTAAATTAGTGGCGGAGATTTTTGTAATTTTGTAACTCTTGTTTTAGCTTTATTCGATTTAGTTCAAAGCAAGATGCTTCGCGAAGTAAACGAACAATATATTCAACATGGTTCAGTTAAGTCAGCTACAATCCATGTCAAACAATCCAGTACGGAAACGGCCAGTTCCATAGTATTCCGGTGACCGAATCTTTCCCTGAATTTGTCGGGTTCCAGCTGGAACCGACAGAAACTCGTTAGAATCGACAGCCATTACCGGTCATCAGATTCTTGTACCATACCGCTCGCTTTTTCCAGAGGGTTCCAATCAGAAATACCGAGTTTTCTGATGGTGTTCTCCGGAAATTCACAGAATACTGGTTCAGGACTCATCGTCCTAGATATCATCAAGTAATGTATAAGATGGACATTTACCATAAAGCTTTGTAATATCGTTAGGTAACTATATTTAAATAAATAGAAAAACAAAAAGAAAAGATTATTTTTGTTGTTTAATAATTAATTCAAATATTTACTTCTTGTGGATCAAAAAGAATCACAAGTAACGCTCGCACAGAGACTCGCTCAGCTCTTTTTCGTAGAAATTTTATCTCTAATAGAACTAAAGGCTTTCTTTAAAACACTGCTTTTAGCCTGCAAAATAGTTTTAAAAAATTCTAAAAAACTAACATCAGATTTGTGTTCCTTGACTTCAATTACTCTTCGGTAAAGAATTTACGGAAACCAGTCGTTTTTGTTTCAAGATTAGTCTTCGATCAATCAGTGAAGTGCGTATACACAAGCAAGCAAGCAGATAGTTTATGTCTGCAAGACTCTTCTCTGCGAGAAAGAGTGCTTAAGGAAGACGATCCTAGAATAACTGATTTTCATTTTCGATATCTCATATCTTAATAGCTATGTGCTCATTTAATCTTAAATTCTGAAAAGAAAGGTTTTTATCCTTAAGGATTATAGAATCAACTAATTTAGTGTTTAATTTGTATTTTAATAATGAGATGTGAACTTTGCATGTACTTATTTGTTCTCTTCTGTTGAAAGATTCATGATAACAATTTTATAGGATATGAAAGAATTCTAGATGACATCAGTAAACTATATATTATACTAGATAATGCTGAGTTATGGCTCGAAATCCACTCATCTGTAAGCTACTATTTTAGATATTTGGACTTGATTGAATTCATCTAGTTAAAATATTAGATATGCACTGGGTTGTTCAAAACAAAGTCTCAATGCTCATCGAACAAGTTTATTCTCTCGTTTACAATTGTTGGTATCAAGATTAGGATTGTTGTTGATAGTGTATGTATGTATGATCTAAATAATCTATGGAAGTTAATATTGAGAAATTATTTGACTTGATAGATCGTGTAATAATTGGTTCTATATGTGATTGCAAGATACAGAACAGACGTAAGATTATTGAATATATATTATATGAATGCATTCGTAGATGTTGGAAAAAAAACAAATGTACTTTTATCAATATCAAATAAAAGGATAGAGAAGAAAAAGTCTATATATGATTAACAACAAATTATATTGTTTTAACATCTTTTCTTTTTCTCGAAGAGACACGATATTTGTTATTGTAGATATGATTTATGATACTTGATGTATATTCTGCTTTTATTCTTTCGTGGAAACATTAGAATATATATCGTTAGATGATAATATTCCAGTAATTAAAGAAGAATAGCTTGTGAAAAAGCTATCCTTTCATTCAAAGGTCTCTGCAGAGTATCATCACTGTAAATAACAATGAAATAATAGCTTCCATAAAGAGTTATAAAATTTAACAATCCACCAATTTTATGCTCTGAAATAAATGAAATCTTATTGATCAGAAATAGTTATAAAATTGAAAAAGGATCCTTGAATATCATTACGATAGATAATTTTAATTTATTTTCATCAAATCGGTTGTTAATGATAAATAATTATCACATATAATTATAAGCAAGTATATATAAATATTTTTCTTTATTAATCTGTCTATTAATTGGAAATTGTATTGTTTGTATTATTTTCAGCTGCTAATCAATGTATATATCGACACTCACTTATAGATGACTAATTTTAATCAACATCTACACTATCTATTCATTTCAAAAGATCCTTTCAAATAAAAGCAAATAAAATAAATAAGAAAAGTGCGTGTGGATGTAGGTGCAAGATATAAATAATACCCACACCCACCCTAGGTGTCCCATCCGATGCAACAATTTGGAGTGTACAATTGATTTTTCATTCAATCAAGAACAAAATGAGATAAAGACCAGAAGTTTTGACGATGTGAGTGTCATTAAAATAACTCACCAACATTCATATCCTCAATTTTCCTGTAACGGCGAGTATTTCTGCTAATTATAATTATGATTCTAGTATTACATAAATTATTAATTTATCGAACAACGAGTTTAATATTCGTTATTAGTTAACCTTTAATCTGATGATATGTGTACTAGATTACGCATAAGAAAAACGTATCGTTAAATTCGTATCCTTGTGTAATTCTAATGTAAAATTCAAAAACAAAAGAAAATGCTGGGAGACTTCTGACGTGAATATTTGCAAAGCGAATATGTGTTTTTATTGTTAGTGACCATATTATGTCTTATCTTTTGAGACAGTTGGAAAAAACGAATACTTTTTTTCTTCCTTCTACTCACCTAGCTTTACGATATAGACTGAGTAATACACAGAACAGGATTTCATTATAGGCAGTAGTAATAAACATAAGAAATGGCTAACAATGCCATAAAAACATTGACATAAAGAAATCTGATTCTCATATATATATAAAAGAGCTTATTCATCTCTCTCACCATCATCTATTCAATCGAAAAACTCACAAAATTTTTATTTTATTGTCGCATAATACACAGAATGAACACAATATCTAATAGCAGCGAACGGCGAACACGCATAGTACAAAATCATTTACTCATTTGCTTAGATGAGTCTATACACGAAACAAACAAAGATTACAAACATATTTTGACTCAAATAAAAACTGGTGTCGACAATGTTAGCGTATTTACACAAAGAGATGAGTGTATCGACTTTCTTTCCGATATTGAAGACGTCAAGTATTTTCTTGTTGTCGAGAACACTATAGCTCAACAAATTATACCCCTCATCAATGATATTCCTCAGTTGGATGGTGTGTACATCTTCAATAGCATTGAAACATTACATCAAGAATGGACCAAAAACTGGCAGAAAGTTAAAAGCGTTCATACCAACATTAAAGATCTCTGTCAAGCATTACAACTGGATGTTAAGCGATATAACCACGATTCGATTGCTGTCAGTTTCATCACCGAATACGAATTGTCTTTAACTGATGATTTAAATCAGTTAGAGCCAACTTTTATGTACACCCAGATATTCAAGGAAATCATCCTTGATATAGGACATGGTAAACAGGCCATTAAAGAATTTACTTCATACTGCCGACAAAATAACTTCGGCTCACCAATCAATATTGATCGTTTTGAAAAAGAATATCATGCTCAATCAGCTATTTGGTGGTATACTTATCCATCATTTATCTTTTCTATGCTCAATTATGCTCTTCGGTCTATGGAAAGCGATACCATTATTAATATGGGTTTTTTTATTCATGATCTTCATTTACAAATTTATCAACTACATCAACAGCAGTTTGATACTGATCATGCCAAATCATTCACAGTCTATCGCGGGCAAGGTCTATCTAAAGCAAACTTCCAAAAACTACAAAGAACAAACGGTTGTTTAATGGGGGAAATATCAACTCGTAACGGTGGATTTACCGCGCTTTCGTAACCCGAAAGCCCTGTCATTTTTTTTCAACAGGGCTTTCGTACCTGAGTTTAACTGGGCTTTCGTATCGATTTTGACAGGGCTTTCGTATCGAATTTTAACGGGGCTTTTATACCGGAGTTTAACAGGGCTTTCGCATCAGTTTTAACAGGGCATTCGTAACGAATTTTTTATTGCATTGATACGTAAGCTAAAAGACTAATACTCCATAAGAAAACAAGGTATTCGTTGCGAATACTCTTGAGAGCATATATATATATATACGTATATATGTTTAGTTAGTAAGTATGATCCATTCGTAACGAATAAAAAGTCTTTTTGTTGTTGTGTTATTTTTTGTTTTTCATATCTTCTTTGTGTTGTAAGAAATAAATTTAAAAAAAGATTAAGATGTGTTGATTTATATTCTGGTTCTTTGTTACTACTCTTAAACTTTGTTCATGGTTACTTTGATAAAATACTTACATCAATACTAAAGCTCTGTTAATAGTATTTAATTTGAGATAATATCAACAATTTTGGCTTTACGATAACCCTGTACGAGCGGTACGAAGACCCTGCAAAAAACGATACGAAGGTCCTGTAAAATGTATAGGTACACTTTGTCAATACGATACGAAAGCCCTGTATATTTGTGATACGAAAGCCCTGTAAAAACTGATACGAAAGCCCTGTAAAATCGATAAAAAAGTGCATTAATTTTTGATTACGAAAGCCCTGTCAAAAAGGCGATACGAAAGCCCAGTAAAACTTAAAAAAACACTGGGCTTTCGTAACCGACCGTTACGAGTTGATACTTTCTCGTTTAATGTCTTTCAATAACTTTTTATCCACTAGTACTGAGCAAGACGTAGCTCTCGGACTTGCTTCAAGTGCGTCAGGAAATGTGGACATGGTTGGCATTTTATTTGTAATGTTCATTGATCCTTCCATAAAATCAGCACCATTTGCCTCCATCAAAGGCAAGAGCTATTTTAAGGAAGAAGATGAAATTCTTTTTTCAATGCATACCGTTTTCCGAGTGAATGCAGTTAAAACAATGGACACTAATAATCAACTTTATCAAGTCGAACTACAATTAACATCAGATGATGACCAACAACTACGATTACTTACTGATCGGATACGAGAGGACGCTACTGGTGGTACTGGATGGCAGAGATTGGGTAGCTTATTGCTTAAAATTGGTCAATTTAATAAAGCTGAAGAACTTTATAATGTATTACTCGAACAGACATCTGATGAGGATGAAAAGAAACATTATTATAATCAGCTGGGATATATCAACGATGGGCAGGGTGATTATGAAAAGGCTATTTGGTATTACGAACAAGGACTGCAAACCGATCAAAAAACTCTTTCTGCAAATCATCTAGATTTAATTACTTCATACAACAACATCGGCAGTGCATATGACAGGATGGGAGAATATTCGAAAGCACTGTCATTTTTCGAAAAAGCACTTGAAATTGATCAAAAAACTCTTCCTTCAAATCATTCTTATTTGGGTAGTCTATATAACAACATTGGCAGTGTGAATGACAAGATAGGAGACTACTCGAAAGCAATTTCATTTTACGAGAAAGCACTTGAAACTAAACAAAAAACTCTTCCATCAAATCATCCTTTATTGGGTGCTTCATACAGCAACATCGGTTTGGTGTATAATAAGATGGGAGAATACTCGAAAGCGCTTTCATCACACGAAAAAGCCTATAAAATCTTTCGAAAAACTCTTCCTTCAAATCATCCTGATTTGGCTACTTTCTACAACAATATCGGTAATGTATATGACAAGATGGAAGAGTACTTGAAAGCACTTTCATTTTTCGAAAAAGCATTTGAAATTCGACAAAAAGCTCTTTCCTCAGATCATCCTTCATTGGCTACCTCATACAGCAACATAGGTTTGGTGTATAATAAGATGGGAGAATACTCGAAAGCACTTTTATCTCACCAAAAAGCCTATAAAATCTATCAAAAACTCTTCCTTCAAATCATCCTGATTTGGCTACTTCATACAACAATATCGGTTTGGTATATCAAAGCATGGGAGAGTACTCGAAAGCACTTTCATCTCACGAAAAGGCACTTGAAATCTATCGGAAAACTCTTCCTTCAAATCATTCTTATTTGAGTAGTGTATACAACAACATCGGTACTGTGTATGACAGTATGGGAAAGTACGCGAGAGCACTTTCATTTTATGAAAAAGCACTTGAAATTGAACAAAAAATTCTTCCTTCAAATCATCCTGATTTGGCTACCTCTTATAACAGCATCGGTGGTGTGTATGACAACATGGGAGAGTACTCAAAAGCACTCTTAACTCACCAAAAAGCACTTGAAATTCGACAAAAAGCTCTTCCTTCCAATCATCCTTCATTAGCTACTTCATACAACTACATCGGCTTAGTGTATGACAGTATGAGAGAGTACTCAAAAGCACTTTCATCTTACGAAAAAGCACTTGAAATCTATCAAAAAACTCTTCCTTCAAATCATCCTGATTTGGCTACTTCATACAACAATATCGGTACTGTGTATGACAGAATGGGAAAGTACGCGAGAGCACTTTCATTTTACGAGAAAGCACTTGAAATTGAACAAAAAATTCTTCCTTCAAATCATCCTTCATTAGCTACTTCATACAACAATATTGGTGGTGTGTATGATAGTATGGGAGAGTACTCGAAAGCACTTTCATCTCACGAAAAAGCAGTTGAAATTCGAGAAAAAACTCTTCCTGCAAATCATCCTTTATTGGCTACTTCATACAACAACATCGGTTTGGTATATCAAAGCATGGGAGAGTACTCGAAAGCACTTTCATCTCACGAAAAAGCACTTAAAATTTGGCAAAAAACTCTTCCCTCGAATCATCCTTCATTGGCTACTTCATACAACAACATCGGTACTGTGTATTACAATACGAAAGACTATTCGAAAGCACTGTCATATTATGAACGTGCTTTGGACCTATTTGAACGTGTATTACCTCCAACTCATCCTGATATAAAAACTGTGAAAGAGAGTATTGAAATTGTAAAAGAAGAAATTATAGAGAATAGTTGATAAATAAATAAAAGAATATTTTGTTCGCTTATGCTTGAATTAATTCTAATTTTAGTGACTCCCAGGCGTGTACAGAGAGCAGCTGTGTAAATAGCAAAAATGTAATGGATAAAGCCGACCGATAAGGGAATACACATACATATGTCTGTGTATAAAAAATCTTCTCAGACATATTTTCATTTATAATTCTTTACGAGGGTATTCCTTGTAATAAGCAAAGAAGAAATAAATAAATATTATCTTAAATAATAATCGTGGAATGAAACAATAAAAAAAGAATAGCTAATGTGAAATTGAATTGAATTGTTTTGTTATATTGTTGAACGAGGCATAGTTTGACGAAGAAAAAGTTAAAAACTGCGTTTAAATGTTCTTGATTGTCATGGTATAAATATTTCTTTCAATGAAGATAAGTTTTATTCTTTATTTTGATATTGATTTTGAACTTTTTGCATAGTTGGTATTTGGTTAAACTATACACTTAACTTTCATTATCACTTACACATCAAATCAATACTATATTTTAATAAATTTGTTTAAATAATGGTACTTTTAATTTATGTTATATATTAGATTCATTCATGTTTTGTTCATCAGAAGTTACTCAAACAAATCTTTTCATGACTACAATTATTCTTTATATTTAAAAATTCGAGATGCTTAATGTTAAAATAGTATTCTATTTCAAGCACACGGAAACAATCTATATCTTCGATAAACACGTTTTTTACAATCGAATATTTCATAGACTAGTCTTCAATATACAAATATTCTTCAATCGGGAATGCATTGAGGATGGATATGGATTCATCATTTATGTGCCCATATCCATAGATTGAAGAAACTCAAAACTTCATGACCGAGCATTTTTATTACATCAAGTGAGATATTGTTGAATGCGGGGCTTATTAAAGTTTGTGTCGCTTTACTTGGATCATTTAATTCATCTAAAGAAATCCTCATAAAATAGAAATAATAACTATTGATCATGGCACGGTCCTTATTTCTACTCACTCTCTGTATGCTGTAAGTCGTTAAAACAAAACAATCATTAATCTAATAAATTCATTCGTTTTAGTCGTGCGTAGGGTGCAGCGGCATTTCCTTTGTACATATTATGAGCTAGAAAATTTTGTATTAAATTTTATGCATTATATCTCAAGTAGTGTTCTTTGAGAACTCAAAAAATATTTATAATCTTGCTGGTATAAGAACTTTTTTCTCTTCATATAAATGGGTACGCTTTTTTTTTAATCTTTTTTGTTTCTACTTGGGGCATTATAAATAGCATTTTTTTCGCATAGATAATCTGTTAAGAAGATTTCTTCGTTTATTTTTGTTGTAATTGGTTTGTGAAAACATTATTCTAATGTGCGACAAACAACGACATAGCATATAATAGAATATTTAATTAAAATCTTAGTATAAAATACATCAGAAAAGAATTTTGAAGTTAGTTGTTTTTAACATAACATCTCGTATCATGAATGTTATTTTCTTATTTCTTTTAGATAAATCGATTAAAATGTCGTCGGGAATAGATTACAATTCATTATTTATATCAATACAAACAAATTTATATAAATACGGTGGACCAATTCTGATGGTGCTGGGCACTGTAAGTTGCGTACTTAGTTTGATTGTTTTTACAAAAAAAACTCTACGTAAAAATCCATGTGCAATATATTTGGTGGCATATAATATTGGTAATCTTCTACAAATTTATACAACAATGTTATTAGCGATACTATCAATTGGTTATAATATCGATCCTACTTTATATAGTCTAAGTTTCTGCCATTTTCGTTATTATACACAGTTTTTGTTTACTATTTTAAGTCCATCTTATTTAATATTGGCATCAATTGATCGAATATTAATCACCTCACCAAATGCTCTAACAAGACAACGCAGTACTTTACATGTAACTTATATATCCATCATAGGTGTAACATTGGTTTGGGTATTAGCTCAAATGCATACATTATTTCTGACCCATATTAGCGAACCAGTACCATATATTATCGTTTGCACTTTCCAGCCTGGATTCTATTTAACATTCATAGATTATTATACAATTTTAATCCAAGACATTCTGATTCCTTTATTGATGATTATTTTGGGAATATGGGCTGTGAAAAATCTTCGACAAAGACGTCAGGTCACTGCTGTTACTGTCACCGCAGCTACTGTTGTTGTGCGTTCTACTCAATCAAAGTCAAAGGATAGTCAACTTATTCAAATTTTAATGATTGATATCGGTATATATATTGTATTCAGTGCAATGATGCCACCTGTTCTTATATACTTACAAATACTTCAAACTCAACCATATGATTTTGCTAAACTTGAACTCGTAAGCCTGCTTTTGAATGTTGCTCTGTTCAGTTCTTATGTCCCATTTTGTGTTGGCTTCTATACCAATTTACTCGTGTCTAAAACATTTCGATATGAAGTCAAAAATATTATCAAGTGTTAATATGTTGTTCATGATTGTTAACACAAATTACTCGTAACATCAGACTAATTGTTGAATGTTGTACTATTGTGTGTTTCTTTGTTTATTGTAATCAAGCATCTTGTAAAACTGTTGTAAACAACTATTTTTTATTCAACAATAAATATTCATATAAGGAAATCAAAAAGTTTTGAGAGTGTGTGTGAGGTGGAAGAGGGTGTCATCTTTATATTTCACCCATACCCACATCCACTCATTCTTACAAATCAAAATTTTATAATTAACAAATTGACAATCAGAGTAGAAACAACTTAAGATAAAATCCAAATCCTACTTAACGAGAATTACGATTATGGAAAACCATTCAATAAACCGATTAGAAAACCAATTATAATAGAAGCTGCACATAATTTGATTAACAGTGAGTATTCTTTTAACCCTAATGAAAGTACTCATCAAGCAAGTACGACTTGCCAGCGTGAGTACTCACATGCGTTGTTTCTGTAAGATTATACAAAAATAGAATAAAACTACGTAATACAGAAAAATGAATTAATTAAACGTAAAATAAGAAGAAATATTGTCACGACTTATGTTATTTCCATTCTTTTCTAATGAACCATTTGTTTTAATGTATTGAGGGTGTTCGTGTGGATATAATGTTGGCGAATCAGCAAAATAATATATAAGTATTAGATAAGTAAGTAATGATAAATATCAAATATTAATAATTTTTATAATAATTTTATTTTTAAATAAATAAATTTAATACAAGTGTTACGCGTTTCGAATTTTGATTCTCTTCAGACAATATCTATCTATCTATCTCCTCAATTGTACTTCCTTTTGTACCCTTTCGTTGTCTATTTTCTACTGTATACTCTCGTCTAGTTCTTCTGCAATATCTTCTCATTAGGTCAATGTGTTATCTTTTATCTATTCAACTCAAAAGTGTAGGTGAGGGAGTAATGCTCAATTCATGGGGATAACTAACCACTACGATATCCTTATTATAAAAAAATTCACAAAAATTAAACATACAAAAAAAATCATATATATGAAAAAACTACAAAATAATTAGAATGCTCATCGAGGAGTCGAGCTTGTCGATGATGTATCTGAAACATAAAAAAGAAAAAAGCGCGAGTATCTTTATTCTCGTATTTGTCCTAGTATGTTTTTAACTACTGATTTTGATGATTTGTTATGTACTAAAATGTTTTTCAGATTATCTGTTAACTTATGTGCAAAAATAACTGAAATGTCACTAATAGGAGTATCTTCGAATATTTCCTTCCATAGTGAATGAAATGTTGCCCCGAAACTTGATAAACTAAGTGTGTAGGTAAAATACGCTAAAATATCTTTTTTAAATCTATTCTCTTTTTTTCTTGTTTTTTATTTCAATTTGGATCTAAAAACCTGATCTCTACACTCACTGTGCTTATTTCCCAAAAGTAAAGTTAAATCATTTTTACCTGTTAATGTACTATACAAACATCTAAAATGTGCTTCAATAAAATTGGGCTGATACTTATTTTTTCTATCTCTTCTTCTAAATCAGACTTATGTGAACATATCCTAACGATCCTCATTATTGCTGAAAATGGGATATTTTTGAGCACCTGCGGCGGATGTGCAGAATCAAAAGATAAAATATATGGTTGAGCCGCTAACTTCCGAAAAATCTTAGTTCTAAAATCTGGTGCTTCTACACTTACTCTAACATCTAAATAGTCAACGTACTTACCTATTTCGTATGTTGAACCTATATTTTTATCTATTTTTCCAAATTCTTCTAAAACTTGATTCATTTCTATTTTAGTTTTTTTAGTAGTAAGAAATATGTCATCCCGAAATCTGAAATATAATTCTCCCTCTAAAATTTGTTTTTGTCTGAAAGATTTCTATCATTTTCTCATGTAAACATCCGCTAAAACTTGCGTACACTCTGATCCAATGGGTCCTCCTCTAACTTGTTTAAAATATTTGGGTTTTTGACCCGGATGTGGGTGTGAGTATCGTATTCATCTTTTGGTGAAACTGATGCGCTCACTCACACCCTCAAGATGGAAACGACCGTTTCCATAGTATTCCGATGATCGGATCTGTTCCCTGAATTTGTCGGATTCCACCTGGAACCGACACGAACTTGTTAAAATCGGCAGCCGTTACCGATCATCAACTCATGGTACCGTACCGCTCGCTTTTTCCAGCGGATTCCAGCTAGAAATGCCGAGTTTTCTGAGGGTTTTCTCCGGAAATTCACAGAATACGGCTTCAGGAATCATCGTTCTATGTATGTTTACCAAATGCAATTATTGCTTTGAAAACTTTTGAATATCCTTCTTGATTCAGATACTCTTCTTATTGTTGAACGACTTAGTATTGATTCATACTTATTATCATTAACTAAAAAAAAAGTCATAAAAAAAAGACATGAACATTTTGTTTTACCGTCTTACTTGTTGATTTAGTTATAAGTGATATATCTCAAAACACTTTTTCTATTGTATTAAGATATTTTTTTGTTTTATCATTA